AATAGTCACAAAATAATATTACATTTTAATATATACAAAAAAGGTTTAAAAATAATGTTTAAAAATAGAAATAAAAGAGAAAAATATCAACTATGTTCAAATTAATCAAGAAATAAAAAGTAAGACCATAGAAAAATCAGGAAAGGACTCAAATGATTTTATAAATTTTTTGGTAATTTTTTTAAGTCGGAAACTATTTTTAAAATTAAAAAAAAAGGGGTAAAATAAACCAAAAATGATAAAAAAAATAACAAAGTCAGAAACAAAAATAAAATAAGCTCACCAATATTTGTCACAATATCATTGGATCATTCCATAATTTTTTTCAGAATTTAAAAATACATAAAAGTATTTTTTTCAAACATTTAAAACAATTCAAATAAAGTGTAAATTTATAAAAAAATACCAAAACACAATTAAATTGTGAAAAAAATAAAAATCAGAAAGAGAATAATCAAAAATATTTTTCATAATTTTTTCAGATTTTTTGGACTAAAAATGAATTTTCTATGATTTTTTGAAGTTTAAAACAATTAAATATAAAATCAGAAAAGAAAATAAAACTCAAAAGTATGTGGACCATTGGATGAGAGTCAAAACGCGTTAGTAATTAAATCCAAGGGATCTGGAACGCTGTGCATATCATGGTCATTAGTGAATAAAGCACTGAATCAATTATTAAATCAGAATTCAAAAATAACAAGTGGCACGCCATCATTGGTTGGAAGATGACACGTTGGTCATCTTCAACCTCCAGTCAACGTGAATTGCAGGTCACTCAAACTGTAAAATCAGAAGCTCAGACATATGCCATCCGCTTCGTCTCTTCAAGACGAAGACAACCACACCCTCACGCCAAATTTATATTAATCATAGCTCAAGCAATTTGGAAGGAAAGTTTTGAAAAGGGATTTGAAATTTCATGGTCAAAATGTGTTTCCAGTAAAAAGCAAGTGTTGCGACTAGAAATAGGGCAATAAGAGCATCAAAATGAAATCAAAGTTTTGAAGAATTGATGAAGGAATCTACCTATTGAAGTTGAGTTGTAGAGCTCTGAAACTGGACTTCTATGGAGCAATATAGGGCACGATTCTTGAATGTAATTATATGGTTAGCTTCAGGGAAGATCAAGGAAGGTGAATTGATGAAGAAATTGGATTGAAAAAGGCTTGTGTATGGGTTTCGAAGTTGCTAAATTCTGAGTTATGGAACAAGTTTGGCAGGGTGATTCTGGATATCCAAGCTTGAGAAAATGAATGGGATAGTTCATGTATTTATAGGAGAAGCAAATGGGATCAAAAGGAGGAGTGAATGATGCATTTTGGAGGGAATTTGTGAAAACCTGATGCACGAGTGAAGTGTGATCTTATTTTCACCAAAACTCATCCAATCCTTGCGTTTTGAGGTGCTAAACACTTCTGGCAAGTTTATTAATCAAGTTTAAATCAAAAACGCGTATGAATCTTATGATTAGAGGCCACATTATGGATTTCAAAATTCTGACTTGGTGAGAAATTCAGTCCCAAGCTACCAATTTCAAAACAATGGCATTTTCAACTCAAGGGGTCTTAGGGCATGATTCTTGATGCTTTAGAAAGACGAGGTTACAAACTTTGCAATGGAAAAATAATGGAGTTAAATGGATGTTTGAGTTGAAAGTTGCATTGAGTCAAAGTTGAGGAAAAAGGGTTGACTTTCCATACTTAGAAATATTTCAAATTTTTCTTCAAAAGTGACCTATAATGTCTTGCATCCAAACATGGCCTTCCACTTGGAATTTTCTCCTTACCAAAAAAGATGGAATGAATTAGATCTCTTGAATGACATTTTGAAACTTGAACCATTCAAAATATCCAAAAATTGAGAGAGTTATGAATTGTTGAAGTTGGCAAAAAATCATGAAATGACCTATAGTCTTTTGTATCCTTAAGGAAACTTCCATCCATTTTATCACTTTGCACATAAAAGAAGGTATAAAGTTCACATATTCAAGATCATTATGGAAAAATAATGGGCTCAAGGTGATAAAAATTTACTAAGTTATGATCATTTAAAGTCACACATGGAAAATTGGGGATTCATCTGGAGGACTTGTAATCTTTTTTCCTCATCAAGTTTCTTCCACATGAAAATTCCTTGGAACTTTTGAAGTGATTTGTTAATAACTCTTTGAAGAGAATGATATATTTGGAATAACTCAAAAATACCAAAATATGAGCAAGATATACTCCTTTGAAGTTCAAAACCCTACCTCCTAGATTAAGGAACATGCTTTGAGGAACTTTGACAATTTTGAACAAACTTCTTGTACCAAAACAAATGCTTTGTAAATAAAAGTTATTGAGGATGATAATGAGGACTCATAGCAACCACAACCACTTCCATAGCTTAAGAATTGAGAGGAACATGCACTTGTAACCAACAGGAATAAAATATTGTCCAAACATGACTATTTTTTCAATCAACCCCTTGTAATTTTTTGGTCAAATTTGATAATCTTGAAATATGGTGAACCAAAATAAGCTTGCCATGCCATTTATTTCAAAACAAATCCAATGGTGAGGTTTGAGCTTCTCAAGCTTTATTGACTAGGGTATGGAAATAAACTCATGAACCCATGGAGAAACTTGTTGAATCTTATTGCCTTTACCTACATGAGTAACAAGCAAGACAAACTAACATTGAATTTTATTAATTAAGAGAAGAAATCAAGACAAAAAATATGCATGATCACAAAAGAATACAAGTCAAGGTGCTTGATGATTCCTCAGAGTGCAAAGCTAAATATAGGGAGGGGAACCAAGAATCCTAGTGTGATCTTGTTGTGAATGAATCAACATGGTATGATGAAGGGATCTTAGGGGCAAACATTTGGGTACAACAATATCTACCTAATGTTAGCATGCATAGTTTGCAGTAAAGCCCTACTTCTCATGATTTTTAGAAAAGCGGTAAAGAAATGCGATAAAGTGCATAAATGAGGGATAAATTAAGGTCACGATGATACCGAGCGGAGAAGGTCCGTTGCCTCTTCATAATCACACAAGTAATAAGAAAACACTACAAAGGTTGCTCCGCGTGAGTGATCAAATAATTAATCCTCGAGCATTCCATATTGTGAAAATTACATCAATCATTCTATCATAAAATCTTATCTAAAAAATGACAACGAAAATGATTATTAAACATAAAATAGTAGAAAACTCCAATAAAATTCTGAGGAAACCTAAAAATTTCTAAAATATTCTACTATTTTTGTATCATTATCATCATTAAAATCATAAAAATGAAGCTAAAATTAATAACATGGAGAGGTAAAAGTAGTAGAAAAAGAGGGGGTGTATTGTTGAGCCCAGGAGGTATGCTGCAGCAAGTTGATGTTAAGCCCATCATCTGTTTTTGTTCACCAACCCAGAAACTACCAAAAATGCCATTGGGCCATATAATCCACTCCATCACCAACCCAATTCCAATACTTCATATTTTCTCAAAAGTGCAACCCTAGCACCCTTCTACTTCACTCCAGTCCACCACGGGTATCAATCTCCCCGCCTCACACCATCGTAAAACATACGACCTCCACCTTATCTCTTACGCCTCCACCTTATCTATTTCACCTCATCGTTTTTTGTATCAAGTTTACACTTAAACGCTTACGATCGAACAAGACTCAACGGAAGGCAAACCGGAATTGAAGCAATCTCGTTCTGCGTGTTCGAATTCAAGACTCAACGAGATGAAACACAAGATACGACAATAAACTTGATGCGAAGGAGTGAAGATACGAGGCGTACCGACCAGAGTCCGCCCGACGTGTATTTGGCAGAGTTGCGACCATGAGAAGTCTGGAGATAACTCAGGTAAATCCTTCACTCTATTCTTCTTATTCTACATCGTTTGGATTGTGTTTCTGCGGTTTTTGGATCTCTCTTGTTTATGCTCTATTGTTGATGTTGAAGTTATGCGTGTGAGATTTGCAGAGTTGCTTGATACGGAGAAGCAGGAAAATTGAAGATGACGAGACTATGGTGAAGAGTTAATTCAGGAAGTTGGCAATCGGAGCAAGTCGCGGAAGGTTGCAGAGAAAGGTTGAGGATGAGGTTAATGGTGAAAGAGGGAGTGAAGAGGAAGTTACAAGGAGGGAATGAAGATTCAGAATGAAGGTTGAAGATGATGTGGAAGGTCTCGATGCGGTTCAGGTGACGATAATTAGATTTTCTGAAGATGAAAGTTATGTTGAAGGCGATGAAGAACGAGAGACAGGGGTTTGAATATGGTGGAAGGAGGTGAAGATTAGATGAAGAATGAGGATTCTTCCGAAGGTTATTGAACAAATGAAGATTAAGGGAGAGTAGAGAGGTCCATTTTTTTCTCCTTTATAAATCGTGTTATATTATTATTTGTAGTTCTCTTAGGAAGCAATTAGAAGAGGTTTTGGAAGTTAGTTATGGTAGTTAGAGGGTTGGTTATAGGTTATGCAGTTAGGAAACAGTTGGGGTTTCTGTTAACTGTTAGAGAAGTTAGGATATGGTTAGAAAATTCTAGAATTCAGTTCTTTGAAGTTCTGAGGGTTAGGAGAAGTTTTTCTATTATGGATAGTTTTGGTTCAGTTAGGAGGTTAGAAAATCTGTTAGAAAATAGTTAGAAAAAGTTTGTTAATTGCTGAATTTAGTTAAAGGTTTGTTACAGGGTTATTGGTTTTCTGTTAGGACAGTTTGCAGGGCTATTTTAGAGGTTGAAAACTTGTTAAAAAACAGTTAGGGTTTAGGCTGTTAGTTTGTTAATGCAGGGTAGTTATGGAGTTTAATGCAGTTAAAAATTTATTTTGGGAAATTAGTTATAAAAAACTGTTATGAATTTTGTTACTATTGGTTATGAAATCAGTTGGGGGCTTAGACTGTTAGTTAGAATTCTGTTAATTCTGTTGAACAGTTGGGTGAGCTCGAAAATTGGTTGGGAGGTTGGAGCCGTTAACTGAGCTGGCATTTCTGTTATGATAATTAGTTATGGACTATTAGTAAATTCTCAATGTAATTTCTGATAAATGGATCATCCATGATGGTTCGTCTGTTACTCTTCAAGATTTTCCCGAATTCCAATATTTCATTTCGTTGATAGGTTGCCATCAGATTTGTTATTGTCAATATTTCAGGGACATTCTTGTATGGCTTAGCTTCCTGCCCATCAAATGGATTCATCTCGGTCTTCATCAACATGTTGGCAAGAACAAAGTACTTCAAGCATTGGATATGTCTCTGATTCCCAACTTCAAAGAAATATGTAGCTGCCTCGGCCCATTGGTGCTCATCCAAATAGATTTTACCCCCATATTCATGGATGATCCCCATTACCCTTGGATAGAGAATTGCAGACTTAATAGTAATTGTTTTCTGGTAAAGTTGCTTCACTTTTTCTTTGAATTGATATGTGCAAGTCCTGTAATGAAGCTTGGCGTGGTATGGTAGGTTATATGCATATTGGCATATTATGGTTGTAATGCGATGGTGCAAATGTGATTTATGCTTGGGTCTATTATGTTTATCTTGGCTGCAACTTATATGTTGCACGTAGAATTTACTTTTGCTATTGCAGGTTTTTTGCCTTTGGTTTGTGATGTCCACTTGACTATTTTTGGTTTTGCCATAGCAGGTCTGATCTATGCATAGTTTTTGGGTCTGGTTCCCTATAGATTATTGAAGCACCTTGTTCAGAAAAGTATGGAAGCATGTATTGGTGCAAGTTATAGCAATGTTTTGGAGCTGAATCAAAGATGTGCCATGGAAGCTTGGAGTTTAGACTTTAGATTTAGACAATCTGATTGATTTTGTGTATTTCTTGTGAAGAATTTATAGTGAACTCATGATGTTTGTAATGAGATTTAATAGCTTTTGAAATGAATCAACCTTGTACTTTAACTTGTAATTCACCGAGGATTCGAAATGATTAATGGTGTCTGGATACGTGATGGTTATGGTGTAATGAACATGACGTATGATAATTGAAATGGAAATGAACTTGTATCATTTTTAATTAAGTCAATGGATGAACTAGTTTGATTTTAATATTTTTGCTTCTTGAATTCCGAATGAACTCTACTTTAATGAATCATATCTTGAATCACAACTTGAGTATTATTGAATGAATTTTGGTGAACTTAGAATCAAAAACAATGTTGAATGGTATTGAAAATGATAACCTGAACCATCCCTTGAATGACCTATGATATGTTGAATCCCTAATGAATTAACCCTTATATTTATGTTTTCTCTCCATAAGAAATGCATTCAAAACCAACTTGCCTTCTATGCTCACATCTTATCAGAGACCCTATTCTCATGATTGAATTTCCAATGATAATGCCTTGATTGTATTACGCATCCACAACATCACATTTGTACCATGATTTAAATCTTGCAATTCACTTTGCAAAGGCACCTCTCTTTGATGATTAATGATCTTTGAGCAAATGTCTTGAGGAAAACCTTGTAGATAGGAGCGATTAGAAGCATATGAGTGATGGTGATCACAAAAATCTAAGCTCCCTTGAGATGAACCTTGATGGCTTAAATTCCCATGATGAAGATGTCCTTGTAGCTTGGTGATAAAGGGGTTCATGAATTAAAACCCTAGCTTCAAACAAACTCTGATTTATGAAAGAATCAGTTGGTTCAAGCTTGAGTGAAGATTAAAACCTTAAAGCCATACATCAACCCTAATTATTCAATATCCTTGATCCCGTGCTAAATTTATTGGTTAATGATGCGTGAGGTGTTAATTGACCTAATGAAAGGTATGAGATGAAATTAGAATGGAATGTGTAAGTCATATGATTCGATAAAAGGGTAGGACAAAAATTTGGGGTATTACAGCGGGGCAGAGTGGCTAGAGCGCGTGATTATAGGAGCACCTGCTAGTCTCAAACCAAAGGGAAGACAGTGAGATGGAACTGAAAGATCCCAACAGTTACAAAAGAGACACATTTCAACCCAAGATAGACAGTATGAAAGAACTGAAAGAATCCCAGGAGTAAGAAACAAAACGAGATGAAACTCGACTCATTAAAACTAGTTAGGCAAAACTAAACTAGATGAGTACCATAACGAATGTTGGATTTCCCGCACGGGTAACGAGCCAAAAATCAACCCATAGAAAAAGTGATGAGAGTGCATGTTTCTCAGAGAACCTGTAGGTCTCTAACCACAGGAAGACACTGAGATGGAACTGAATGATCCCAAAAATTATAAAAGAGACAAGTTTCAACCCAAGATAGACTGTATAAAGGAACTGAAAGAATCCCAGGAGTAAGAAACAAAACGAGACGAAACTCAACCCATTATAACTAGTTAGACAAAACCAAACTAGATGAGTACCAGAACGAAAATTGGATTTCATGCACAGGAAACGAGATCAAGACTCGACCCAAAGAAAAGTGATGAGAGCGCATGTTTCTCAGAGCACTTTCTATTCTCATATCAATGGATAATAGCAAATGAAAACTGATAGAAGAATCCAAGGAACAAAGGAGAATGATTTCAACCAGGGACGCAATTACGAACACTGCAATGAGACTCGGTAAACGAAAACTAATAAAGGATTCAGTAGTCCAACACTGTTGGAAGTCCAAGGTATGAAAACAAAATGAGACGACACTCTACTCATTATAACTAGTTAGACAAAACTAAACTAGATGAGTATCAGAATGAAAACTAGATTTCATGCGCGGGTGAGGAGACGAAACTCAAAACTCGACCCAAGGCAAGGTGATTAGGGCGTACTACTAAAAACATGCTTAAAGCGAATATTAGGACGGAACCGGTATTTAAAAGGTACATCAATAGACATTGGAATGAAACAGCGGGGGTAATGATGATTAAACCCGAGAAAACTGTGCCATGGCAAAAATGAACTATAATCAAGAGTAGACACTTGACTATTCAAATGATTAACATCAACGGGATATTTGTATGGAGTGAAATTGAGATACTGAGGATGAAGACCTCGCTGGGGGTATAATTTGAAGTTTTAACAAATTCACTGGGGGGAAAACAGAAACAGTAATGGCTTATGTTCCGATGTATGTTTGAAAAAATATTTATAGCGTAATGTTCCATATAATGGAAATGCTATGCATTTTGGTAGATGCAATATAATGATGCATGTTTAAATGTTTCACTGGGGAATGGGAAATCGAGAAGCCAACAACCAATAGGTCAAAACTTGACAGGATTCGCAAAAATAAATTGCAAAATCTACTGGAGACGAGAAAATATAAGGAACCGATAAAAAGAAACCCTTGAGGAGATAAAACTCTATCGGCAGTAACATCCCGAGTAACCGATAGAAACAGGCTACAAACACTGAGAGGAGTTGCAAGAGTAAATTACAAACTCTGCTGGAGAAGATCAGATCAAAACTGTGATCTATGAAAAGAGGTGCCAATGAAGATTGGACGTTTCCAGAGAAGATCAGGGCAAGACTGTAACTTCTGAAGGAGAATTCCAAATAGAAATCGGCTGTTGTTGGAGAAGATCAGAGCAAGACTATAATCTCTAGAAAAGACGACATGCAGCTGTGTTGAGGATGATACCCATATAATAAACCAGATGTGAGAAGCAAAAACCTTCGCTGGGGAATCAGATAAGCTATGTCAAGGTCAACCTTGTCGGGGATGAGATGTTCTTCAATAAGAAAACTCGATCAAAGATATTACTGATGGGGGTACACAAATCCTCGAACATAAAATATAGTCAGAACCACACTAATGGAGGCTGATGATACTCTTCAAAAATGGCCAAACCTATTGGGGAAACTTCCACCGAAAAATCCTTTGTCGATTGCCGAATATTAACAAAATCTCAATTAATCGACCAGCATCAACTATATTGGGGATAAAGAAAGATCCTTACATAAGGATTCCCCAAACAGCAAATTATCCTGGAAATGAGAGATCAGGACGAGGAATCTTTGATCGGCAACTCCTCTAGGGAATTGAAACTTTTTCAGACTTTGAATTCTCATCTAAGTAACTCCAGTGGGGACATGAGACGTCTTCAAACTTGAAGTCTCATAGCGAAGCCTTTCTCTTAAAAAAAGATTTATGGGCAACAAAACTCTGCTAAGGAAACAAAACTCCACTGAGGATACAAAACTCTGTCGAGGAGTATTTAGCTGGGGATAAGAGATACAAAACTCTAAAAGTGGCAACCCCTACTGGGAATGCTTCTGCCATGGATTTCTTCACAAAGAACCCGACCGCCATTGATTAAAGGAACCTTGGATATGCAGTCATAAAATAGACCACGAAGATAGTCAAACAGTATCAACTCTACTGGGGATACAACAATCTCAGCCAAAATCAACTTTACTGAGGATGATAATAGATTCTTTTGATATTAAATGCCCCCTAGTCACAACTCAGATGGAAAAATGAGAACTTCTAAATGCAAACTTCAATGATAATTCAAATCAGAAGGTAAACTCCGTTGGGAATAGTCTTTATTAAGAAATGAGATAATGCTCTTCCAGACTTGGTTGGGGGATAAAGGTATCCAAAAACCTTATCCGCCTCGAGAATCCCTTATATGACAATGCTGGAAAGAAATAACTCTGCGGGGAATTCCCTAGTCCCAAGTTCAAAAGTTAGAGGTAAGACTCTTGCATGGGTGCTGACAAGCTGTGACTTACAGAGTAAACGACAATTCCTCGAGAGGATTTCATGGGATTCATAGCATCATGGATGTGTTTCCCTAGAGTAACGGAACTTTGAGAGATCGATCCTCAACTTGACTGCCCCGGATTAGTGAAACTTTGATTGGGGAAACATCTTGCACAATTCTCAAAGAAATCCTTAGGCACCATGACTTTTGATACTATCACTTCTTGTGAAACAGTTGGCCTTGTATCCAACTGAGTGATCAAATCTTCCTTCTTTGACAAAATTAAGTTTTTCGCTGATATTCATTGTGTAAGCTCTTTTGATGTCAAGCAATTGTTTTGTATGCAGAAGAATATTTATTATGAAAATAACAATTCTAATGCAACAGTTATGTAAGCCTTGAAGGTGAAAATTTTGAATGAAAAAGATGTCGCAACTCCATTGTGAATGAATCACTAGCTAAAGTGCAACATTTGAAAAGCTTTTTGAAATAAACACGATGCAGGCATGAAATACCAACATGGATATGTAACACATATTTGGGAGTTAGGAAACTCTATCCCGTTATAGTATGCCTTCGAGTTAAACCCATGTTTCAGTTAGGACTTTTAAGGGTTATAACGTGGCTCGGTTCATGATTTTTAAAAAAACAGATTTTAAGGCTCAAGTTATTTAGTGCCCACCCCCTTCGTGATGTACTTCGGTCCTAAGTTTAGCCAACTCGACACGAGAATTCATCTCTTAAAAGGAACTTTGATATGGTTGAGGAAACCAAACGAATTTACTTTGGACATGGCAGTCACCCACTTTCTCATCCTTCTGATGTATTTGGTATGACCACACAATCTTGTTCTAACTCATGCAATTTTACTATATTCATTTCCCATTCTCAACACTTTAATACATCCATTTTTTCCTAAGTCGCCTTTTTCTTCCTTTTGTTTTATTACATTTTTTTTTTATTTTCTTGACTTGGAGGATTTTTTTTCTTTTTATTCATTTCTTTAACTTTCGAACAAGTCGTATAATCCAATTATCTTCGATCCATCGGAAGCGATTGTGACTGCCTTACTTCCTTGATTGATGGGGAATAATCAATATTATACCACCATTTGCTAATTTCCTCATTCTTCAGTTGACGAGAGATATTAATTATTGTATCGTCATCAATTGACCTTTTAATGCGTAGAGGACAATCGTATGCAGTTCAGACTTACTATTTGGCCTTTCCTCAACCTTTTGAAGGATAACCATTATTGTATCCTCAAATGCGCACTCCTGGTGAGTTTTGAATGCCTAATCAAGTTAGCTGAACATTACCCTGCCCCTAGTTTAAAATAAGGTTTTTTTCTTTATTTTTTTTGAAAAGATACTCCTACTTCGAAGGCTCAGAAGGGTTAACGAGGGTTTCACTCTCTTATATCTCCAATGTTTAGGGATTTGAAACAATTCCTGTACATCGTCAACAGGATTCTACTCAAAAGCATACAATCAGAGATATTGCTTTTAACTGTTGCCATCCTCCCTCCAATCTTTGACTAGGAAAAAGAGTTGGTACAGTTGGTATCAAAATACCAGAAAATCATTTAAAGAGTGATAATGAATGGATTAAGTAAAAAATAAAGGATTACTTCAAGGTAAGCATAATCATTGCATTAGGATTAACTTTCAACAAAACAAACAAGTTTCTACATGCAGACAATGTTCAAACAAACAAGCAAGATACATATGAAAATGCAGTAAAGAATCATAAAAATGCCATTGTAGAGAAGACTTGACTCCGTCTATACTTGTTGATCTTTGGCGACGCACTGTAATCTTGATGTTCATTCTGGCACATGACTTCTTTGTTAT